CCTGATCCTGAAAACTCTTATTTAACACTATACTAGAAACCAGAAGCTGGCAGTTGTCTGAGGTAAGGATCCGAGAGTTAACAAGTTGGCATTATGCAGAATTTGCAAGGGAAAAAAAAGGAGTTACAGAGAAGTAAAGGTTGAGGGGTCAGAGGATGGGCTGGTCTGAGGTGCTGGAAATGCTCCACTGACACTGTGCTGGCTTACAGCAGTTGAGAAACACTCCAGGGACTTTGAAATACTAATTGGGCTGGCTCTCTAATTTCATTTTTTTATTTTTCCTCCTCCTGCTGGGCTTGCCTTGGTGTTGATGAAGTAAATTTAAGGGAAATTCGAGTATATGTAATATGTACATGACTTTTTCTTGCTTATATGTATTTCGGGTTTGTTTCCTACTAAAACATTTTGGTTAAGGACCTGTTCTACTTTCCCTGAGAAAGCTAATTAGAGCTTTCTCTTTTTTGTTTTTTTTTTTTTTCCTGCCTGACACATTCTTTCTGTAAATATAATGCTGTGGCTTTGAGTTCAGAGCTGAGCTCCACTGGAAAGACTTGGAACATTTATTTTACAAGTATTTAAATGCTTATAGGAGTTAAACCATGTGTAGGACAGATGCTGAAATCAAAACCATGAATATTATGAATATTAATGGAAGAATTAAAATTTTCTTTTTAAGGAAACCTTCAATCTTTAATTTCAGATGTGTTGCACGTGCCAAAAAAGTAGAAAACCCAAGACACTTTTTTTTTAATCACTTATTTTTATTTTATCACTTATTTTCTTAGGAAGAAACTCTTATTGGAGCACTTAACTATCCTCTGATAAACACGAGTTTTTGGGTTGCGAGCTTGGCTTGCACTCTGCATCCCCATGGGCATCCCTGCATTGCTAAGGATGCAACCCCTTACTGGTTTAGACTGGTAAAATTCTTTATTATGTGGGAAAATGGGGTACCCGGGGGCCGGGGGTTTATTCAAGAGGTGATAAAGCAGCTCTTACTCCATAAAGAAGTACCTTAAGGGCCCGGTGTTACTTTATAAAACAACAGTCTAGTTAGCATGATAAATGCTTTAAATTTTGTAGCATTTAGAATTCATCAAAGCTGAGTCTTTACCCCATTTGCTAAAGCTTATGAAATATACATTTGTGGCTTGCTGGTATATGAGTGTTCCCAGCAGTTATTTCTCGTCTTTATCATCGCTGTTTTCTTGAGCGCCGACCTTCTCAAGCTTTGATGCCAAACTGCGACCTCGATGCCTTAGCTTATAACCTTTTTTTCCCCCCTGTACACACAAGACCCTTGTAACTATTAGCTTTTCTGCCTGGTTATCTCATACAGCTGTATTTCTGCAGCCTGTGTTTCTCTTCAGGTTTTCTCCGTTCCATTTTTACGCTGGGTTTCAGCTCTTGTTTTCTGCTGGAGAGAAGAAAATGTAAGAATAGTTAACATAGTCTCGTCAACTCTGCCAGCTAGGAATTAATTTCTGTGTTTTGCTTTAATTTTGTTGTGGTCTGAAGGAGCTATGTCTTAAGAAGTATGCTCAAAAACCTATGTGATGCTTAGGTTTCAGTGAAATCTATCTGAGATACTAAAATAGCTTTCATCACTGAACTTTGGTATCGCCTCTGAAAATATGGTATTCTGTCCAGAGTCCCTTTCTCTTGGGAGAAAATTCTAAAAACAAAAAGATTCAAGTTCTAAGCCCAAATCCAGGGTGTTACACTAGTTGCATAATTTTTTTTATTCATTTGTGACTGCAAAGGTGGGATAAAAATATTTAATACCTATTTTAAAGGCATTCTGGAAATTCTTTGACCAGTATATACAGGGCTTTGAAGCTAGAATTTAAGAGATGCCAACAAATTGTTGTTCTCTCCATCAGAAGGATCCCCTTCAACAGAGTCTGACTTCCAACAGCTTGCTAGAGCTCAGCCATTGAATTAAATCTTGCAAATGCAAGTCCAGAAGAAGCAGTGGGGTCAGTCTAAAGCTAGTCAAGATACATTGAACCCGCTTGCTTTACTGCTTTTCTTTTTTGTGATTTTAATTCAAATATTATTCCTTTGTGTGTGCCATCACACCATTGTAAAGCTGTAGGAATTGTTGATTTTCCTCATATTGTTCTTGGACTGGTTTTCTCTAGGTGAAATGGAGCTTGTGTTGCTAAAATGTGAATCAGCTATACCATGAATATGTGCAACATTTGCCAAAGTGCTTCTTTGGCTTCACATGACTTTGTGTAATGGTACCGTATGTGCCTAAGAACATATTGCTACCTTATACATGGCCGGCTAAAAGCAAGAGGCTTGTAATTATTTTTATTTGCATGTGTCATAAGTGAGCACTTACGCACTTTGCCTGCTTTGCACAGTGCTTTCAGTCTAAATGGACAGAAATAATTCGGTTAGAAGGGCAAAGCACATGGATGGGTTGATTTGTGTTAGAAAAGGAGGATTTAAGAGGAAGAGCATTGTTAGAGGATGAGGAAGGACAGGTTGATTCAAGCAAGAATAATTGTGGTAAGGCCAGGTGGAATTAGCCATGAAAGAAATGAGTTGAAATACATAAAGACGAAGACGTGGACTGCAGGAAGGGCATGGGGAGAGGTGCTGATGAGGAGGAGGTCAAGCGAAATGAAAGCTCTGCGCAATTGGGCACTCAAGGAGGGACTAGAGGAGTATGATTTGAATGTTAGAAGAAGGACTTGCAGTAGTTTGAATGATATTAGAGCCCAGGAAAAAAAAATAAATACAGTAGGCAGGAGTTGCTAAAGTAAGAGGCAGCTTCGGATCCTTCAAAACTCAAATTTGTTCTCCTTCCATTCCTTGTGTGGAAGCCTGGGTGGGAAGGTTGGGAGGACTCATGGGTGGGAATGGGTGGGAGGACTTATGGGTGGGAATCAGGCAGCAGGACTGTGAGTCTCAGTGCTAAGTGGTTGGTGCAGTTGTAACTGGTGACTAAGACCAAGAAATGGTCTTTTAGGAAGAAGGTTTTGTCATTTTGAATGTGTTATTTGGCCAGAAGTTGAGAGTAAGCTGTAAGGCAGTATCAGCTGAAAATTGCACAAAAGTCATATAAGCAGTAGCAGTTTAGTATATCTAATGAATATAGGTTGCCCATACTAAAATTGGAAACCTTTTGACCAGTATTTTCAATTATTAGATTTTTGGGTGCCTACAAGATTCCACTTGAGAGGGTACGATCCCAACACCTCATAAAATCAGGCCCTTTCAAGGAGTCTCAACCTGAATGCTCAGAAATGTGCATCCTCAAAATCTGCTATCCAGAAACACCCCACAGAAGAAGTAAATCTCTGTGAGTTTGTGTCCACGGTCTCCTCCAGGCTTTTTTTCCTCTTCCCACTCTGGAACATGGAAATAGGAAAAATGCTGCAGTTTTTACATCTATCAGAGCCCATTCAGGATCTGGGCAACCCACAGGTTAAGACTTCCTGACCTACCTTCTCTGGTCCCTTTTCTGAATACTGACATGATAATATTCTGTATTTGTGATTCTGATAGAGAACTTTATTTTTAAATTTATTAATCTTCTGGAGGGTCTGAAGAATATTAATTACTAACATACTGCTTTGACGTTCTGATTTTATTTACCCAGAATTTTTCTGGGGATGGTGAAAGCATCCACAGCCTAACTATATGTATTTTAAAGAACTAACCTAATTAATTCCATATTATAGTTCACTTAGATATGTTTTCTTTTTCCTGGGACAATTACTTTTCATTAATTAATATCCCTATATGCCCAGTGCTCTCAAAGCAAGGAGTTGTTTTTCTCAGATGTAGCAGATACATTTACATGAGCCTTTACCTATTTATTTTCATGTTGGAGTCTGTTATCAGTCTGTAAGTGGCACCAAAAAGATTGAGTGTAAAGATAAATAAATAAACGCAGATAATAAAATACCCTTGAAAGAAAATATCTGAAGCTTACCCAAATTCTAGGATTCTGATTAATTCCTCTGTCTTAGCTCAAATCCTTCCTTGCTGTTGTTTATACATACTTTGGGATTAAAAGATGTGGTGGTCTTTTCTGGGGCTTTGTGCTTTAGTGTAGCTTCAAAGAACACCTGAGCCAGAGTGCAGGGGCATTTTTGGGGAGGTTTTGTCACAAATCAGTGCTGGGGCACAGCAGACCTGATGCCTGCAGCTCTCCACAGGGGCTTGATTAAAAGAAAACAACAGTCATTTGTCCAGTAAGAGATGTAGGTAAAGATGTTGGGTGGGAAGCTCTTAGCATTCCCCTGCCTCTGCTTGCTATTGAACTGATGTTTGTTGAATTTGCAGGGGGTAGAGCATCTCTGAAGAAAATGCCAGGGTTGGGGGGGGGCTAATATGTATGTAGAGTCTTTATTTAGAACACACCAGCTTTTATTGTTTTGGTGATGTATAAATGCATATTGGTTTTGATGGTGTAATACAAGGGATGAAGCTATCCTGTTAAGTTTAGGTGCAAGTGTTGATAAGCTGTGACATAAATTTAGCAAGGAATATTCCACAAAACAAGGCAAAAAAGATGGATTAAACTACTATAATAACAGGAGAAGAGCATAAATTATTTGTTGAATAAAGCCCTTGCTAGCAAAGCTGGAAAAATAACAAAACCAATGAAAAAAATGGAAAAGAACTATTTTTACAACAGGCATATTACTGCAGTTTAGTTCATGTGCTGTATTCTCTGTTGAAAACTCCTCTGTCTGGTTTACTTAGTATAAATGGATTTAGGCCGCGAGGATAATTCATCTGGGCAAAAGCTGGCACTCGCACAGAAAGAAAAAAAAGGGAAAAGCCATAAACAGTTCCATTTTAATTATTATATTCCTTGACACAGGACAATTTTTAAATCATGCCCAATGTCAAACTGGGATAAAATGGGTCCAGGGTTATGTTTCCTTAAGTGTTATCTTGCAAAACTGCCAATCTGCCTGCTGCATAACAGTCTCTGATTCTGTTTGTTCATCTTAATTTTATTTTTTTTACAGACGCATTATGAAAGCGGAGAGTATATTATACGACAAGGTGCTCGAGGGGACACTTTCTTTATAATCAGCAAAGGAAAGGTAAGTTGACACCCTTCGCAGGCAAGTGGGACAATGGCAACAATGGTGATGATGTGCTCTCAAAATTCAGTGCCAGCCAGCACTTTCTCTCTCCCCTCCCCAAGGCACAAATGCTGCAACACTTGACATTTAATTAAACTTCTTGGCACTGTATCAGTAGGGAAGAGTGGCCTGAAGGGGAAAAATTAGATCTTATGCTGTTTTACTCATGTGCTCACAGTGGACACTTTGGGGTTGAAAACAGTTGTTGAGTCTCTTGGTAAATGACCAAAAAGCTCAAGTTTCTTTTTTAACAGTATACCCTACAATACTCAACGTTTTCTTTGCTAAGAATCCCTCTTACAAGACTGACTTCCAGACTTCATTCCCATGGCTATAGCTTCTCAGCTTCTCCAAATCAAATAATAGAAAGCCAGAGAAGTCTGAGCTTTCTCCTCAGGGAAGAAAAAAGGTCTAAGTTTCTGTTCCACTGCTCATAGGGAAAATATGCTTTTTGACCCCTTTTCCCATAAAATCCTGATGGGATTTTATAGATAAGAGTTTTTTCCTTCCATTCAACTTCTTTTTTTATTTTTTCAGATGGCCTAATAGTATTACACTTGAGAAACATTTGGCTTCTTTCCCTGTAGCAGGATGGAGATATTCAAGGGAATACACAGTGATTTCCCACTGCGGATGAGATGTGATACATTGAAAGTAAACACAACTGGATAAATATGCTTGAAAGTAGGCTAACCCCAGCCTCCTGGTTCATGGATCTAATGTTTGCACCAAGGCACATATTAATGCTGGCCTTGCATAATTAAGGGTAGCAAAAACCCCATGGCATCTGTAGAGGAAGAGTGTGGGTGTTGTACACACTGTTGGGTTGTTTCCCAAGGCAGCTGTCAGCTCTCGGGTACTAAAACTAGATTTTCACCATCATCTTCCACTCTCTATCTCTGGGAGCCAATCTACATCGGAAGGAAAAAATGGTCTATTTCAGATTAGTAAGATAGTCATGGACAAATTTCTGAAATGAAGATAATCATGGACTGCAGAAAGCCAAGTCTGATGGTATTCCCTCAAGCCCTTTCGCTTCCCTCCACTCAGAAGTAATATTTCCTCTTCTCCCAGAATAAGGACAACCATGATGTACGCTTCAAATCCTTTTTTTTTTTGCCCTTTTTTAATGGGCAAAAATAATGGGACGGTGCACCTCCCTCCCTCGTCAAGTGTTTGAAGCCCTCCTTGCCATGTTGGCCAGCCTGTTGGCAATGATGCTTTTGCGCTACTTGGTCAGGTGGATCCCATCCCTTCCTAGCAGTCCTTGATCTCCAGAGAGGGCCCTTGGTTGTAAAAAACAAATCCCTGTTGTTGACACCAGCTGGGCAACTGATTGTTGACCTGCACCTCCTCAAGCCCTTACACCTCGCCTGCAGTATGGAAGAGAAAAACACCCATGCCCTTGCCCATTGCTCCAGAGCCTTGTAGTCCTGCTTGAGATGCTCCTTGGCTTTATCCCTGGCCTTTGCTACTTTATCTTACTGTGACAGCTGATGGCCAGAAAAAGGGAGCTAAAATAAAACAACGCGCATGGGCTTGTTGAGAAATTCCCAGACCTGCAGCTGGATCCTGATGGCTTGACAGGAATTCCCACAGGGACGTTAAATTCTGCACAGTTTTGTCTCCCAAGCTTCCCGATTTGCAAAAGAGATATCAGTGACTGATAGAAGATGGACAGAGTTGGAGAGTGTTTAATTTTAATGCCTGTATTGAGACACAAGAGCTATACAGTGAATGTAAGAACTAACCCATGCTAAGGATACAGCCCAGGATAGGAGGAATAGAGCCTTAGCAGTGAAACATGGAATAAATAACAATGAAATGCAATGAAATACACAATTAACAAATCAATGTATGCTGCCTGGGACTTTCTGAAGCAGGGGCACATAATGTCCCATGCTAAAACCTGACCCAGGAAGCTTAATAAGCCAGAAAAAATTCTGGCTGCAGCTTATGTACCTGAGGCCTCACATGTACTTTCTGCATTCAGCAGCATCGCATGAGTATTATTGGTGAAAGCTACTTTTAATAAAAACTCTGCCTTGCCTTTTATGTCAGAGTGTCTATAGTGACAGTCAAGTGAACAGAGAAGATTTTTTACATTTCTGAGCCCAGCACTTCTCTCAGAAATGCTTAGAAAGACTTCTGCTCTGTTTTCTTTCAGCCCATGCTCTATGGATGTTTCTTTTAGGAGCAAAAACCTTTTCCCCTTTTTCTTCCTCAACTCCATCCACCACACTTGATCCCACTCCTGAGCTCATTTAGTTTATTTATTATAGCGTGTTTCCTTGAGTCCAAGTGAATGGAAATCAGAAGTGTGTTCAAAACACCCTGCATGCAGAAATCTGTTGAATAATACGTCAGATGAAAACAGCTCAGTCCCTTCTGCTTGCTAAATGCTGCTGCTCCATGCCTGCTCTCTACCTTTGCCTTTACCCAGAGACGGTGTGTGCCATGCTGTGCCACTGTACACCATTTTCCCTTTAAAAGCCATGGTGTGGCACCAATTTAATGCCGGACTGTGCAGGTTCTTCATTGGTGCCGCAGCTGTTCAAATGGCTCACTGCTTTGAACCATGTAGATTATCACAGTCCCATAATCCCTTAGCACTCATTGCTTAAGATCAGTGGAGGTCACAGAGAAAGAGCTTAAATATGTGTTAAAGTTCCCTTTGTTTGTCCAAGTTTTTTTTCATCAGCTACAAATCTTCCTGGCTTGTCCATTACGTGTTCCCTACCCTTATCTGATCTTTGATGAGTCACTGCAGATGTTAAATGTAGCGTGGTGTAGACTGAGCACTCATTAATGACTCAAACCCACTGGTTTCACCATCCATAAAAGAGAAGGGAGAAGGTGTGGGCGACAATTGTAAATTTAATAGTGAAATTAAACTGGAATGTCTCTAAATCCGAAAGGATGTGTCTGACGTCCCTGATTTTGGCTTTGTGAATTTGCATATGCAAAAGCTCTGATTGAAGCTAAACAGCCTGAAAAAGAGAAGCAGATGAGAGGTTTTCCCATGTATGTGAGGTACCTCCAGAGAGTTGCTCATCCCAGTTAAATTTTGGACAACTCAGGCTTTGGAAATGCCTGTCCCTCTCCACTGACCATAGACAGAGACTGGACAACTAGCTTTATAGATGGTTAACATCGGGAGAGGTGATCCCCACTGTGCACTGATAGCAGGGGCTCATATTTCACCTACCTTCTCATACCGGAAGAGGTATGAGTTACCTCTGATAACAGCTGAAAAGGAAGAAATGTTTCTCATAGAGGGCCATTACATCAAGAACATTCATCTTTCATGGAACCCTTTGCATCCTGGGTAAGTCATGCCATCCTCAGCACCCAGCTGGATGTCACGGGCTTTGTCATTAGATGGCAGCTGGGATTTATATTCCATACTGGCACAGGAAACCAAAGCCAAGGGTGTTCAGATGATCAATTACTATTTTTCTTCTGAAATAATTTCAGAAAATAAAAAGGACCCCCCAGCGATAGGAAATCATCACAGATATGAAGTCATCTTTCTGTTGCAGTGCCAGCTTCTTCAACTTAGGCTTACTCTAGGTTATACTACCCATGGTTTTACAGTGGGTAGAAAGTCTGCTTTCCATCAGCAGTAATTGCTTTTCTCTTTCACTGCAAAAATAAAAAAATTAAAAATAAGATGGTATTTTCCTTTAAACTTAAATGAAAATACGTGATTTTTGCGCCAGCTAGAGTTATCCCCTCCCTGAATTTTAGAGATAATAAAAAGGAGAGGAGGCATCTTTCATCCTGTAATGCTGCAAACTGTTTCATTTCAATTAGGTCTAAATGTAGATTATTTTTGTTATTCCTTTCCCTTAAGTGAACTTAGCAACACAAGAAATCATGCAGAACAAAGCTAACAGAAGCCTATGCCATTTGTCTGTCTGATATACAGAAAATATTTGGAACCTCTTTCTGCTGCTGACTCCATACGGACAATGACTCTGCTTGTGCAGCCAACTCCATGTTTAGAGTTAAAACCTTCAAAAAACCACAAGTATTGCATTTTTGCAAGAGTAGTAGGTACCTTAGTGGAAAATAACTGCTCATTTTCTTGGATGGTTGGTTGGTGATGCTGAGGGAAGAGTGCAGGACTCTGGAGAATTACGTGGTTCCCAGAGGAGTTATGGACCAGAGCTTTTCCTAAGAGATCCAGGAGATGACGAATCCCTCTCTGAACAAACAAGTTTTCTAAATGCTGGGGGGTTTTGGCTTTTCAACAGGTGAACGTTACTCGTGAAGACTCCCCCAGTGAAGATCCGGTCTTTCTCCGTACTCTAGGGAAGGGAGATTGGTTTGGAGAAAAAGCCCTTCAAGGGTAAGTGCTCCTTATGATGTAGCTTTCACATTGAGTTAACTTTTCAAGGACTTTTGCAGCCTTCAGAGGGCTATTGCAATTTGGAAAGAGATTGGAAGTGGGTTTACGCTTTTGGAGTCGGGTGTTGTCACTTGGTGTTGCGTGTTGCAAGAAGGCTGCACCTTAATGGGGAAATAAGGTTTGTTCTGCAGTTGAGTGGCCAAATGTAGATCTTCCTGTGTTTGTAGACATCAGAAAATAGTTTATCTTTGTACTGTCTTCCCTGACCATGCATTTGAAGGTCAAAATGTTTGACGTTTTGCAACTCTGGAGTAGTTTTAATGTACAGTAAGAGCATAATCGTTGTCTTCTTGATGGGGTAGATGGCTGAAGGCAGGGCGGTGGTGGTGGTTTCTAAATTGTCTTATTGTGTGTATATATGATTTTGGTGGAGGTGGGAATTGTGTGTGTGTGACCTGTTTTATATAAACATTTTCCTTTGGGGATGAACTAAAAGAAGAGAAAATGTAAATCCATATTCAACAGGTGATTATTATAAAAACATGCTTTATTTCTCTAGGGAGGAATAAGAATAGAAATAGTAAAACATGCTTTAGGCAGGAATTTGGGACACCTATTCATCTTAATGGACAAACACTCATCCCATTCTGAGTACTTATCTGTGCATAAGAGCTATTGGGCTTCTCTTTGATGCTGTGATAACATGTTCAATCCCTCCTAAATCAGCCTTCTTCCGAAAAGAAGAAGGCAGAACATTTGAAGGCCAAATTTCGTAGCAGCCAGGGAGATGTATCCAGCACAAAACTTGCATCTTGCCCCTGCAAATCTATACCTTAGTTATAAAATAGTATGGTTATTAAATAAATGTCCTTATTTTGGTACTTTTTTAATACTAAGATGGAGATGAACTATAATTTTAAATTTCCCCCCACAAACACATAAGATAGAAACACTTTTTTCTTCATTTGCTTAGAGCCTCACAGAAACTTGACTCTTAGAGCTGGTATGTTTTTAAAACAGCACCAAATACATTGTGGCATCCGCTGTAATAGTGAGAGCAGGCAGTAGTGTGCCAAACAAAATCATCTTTTGAAGATGACCCGATATGGGAAATAAAAGAGATTTCCTACCTTGCATCCCTGAACAGTTCTAGTGACACACAGCACCACCATGATGAGAATTTCTCAGCGTTTCAAATACAGTACTTTGGCTAACTGGCTCAGACTGAGATTAGTTAATTTACAATAAATGCTTGTCTGCATATAATTAAATATTCAATACGTAATAACTTTGATCTTCTGAAATTAAATGGAAACTTAATAATTGAGAGTATGTTCTTAACATGCGAGGAAAGCATAATACTGACATTTTTTTGCTAGGAAGAGGGCATACCTGAAGAACCATACCTCCAGTTTGCTAATAAGCTCAGTGGTTCTGTAGCTAGATTTAAATTGAATAGCGTGAAAATATTGTAATGATGTAAAGCATCCAGCAGCTTGATAAATTGCTAATAAATTGGTATCTTTCAGGACTTTCAGGACTGTGTAAGACATCAGCAACTTGGGAAACCTTTAGGATGTTTCTACTACTGTAAAATACAGTTATGGCTGAGAGCTCAAGATAAAATCAAATTTTTAGTGTATTTTCTTTACTTTTTCATCTTTGACTAATTTTTCAAAACTTTACCAGGACTTGCTTAGCAATACTTAATTACATGCTATTAAATCATGTTGTGATTTCATATGTGTAGGATGTAGTAACAGCTAAAAGACATTTCTTCATGACAATATAAAATAATAGTTGCAGCGTCCGTTCAGTGTAGTGCTGCACAGCGGGAGGACAGATAACAAATATTTTCTAGTCTCTCACAGAAATATGTATACTGACATAGACATCGGGTGATGATGCACATTATTCTGTTTTTCGCGCTCGCACCTGATGGCACTCATTATTTCGCTGTATCCCATTGCACACCAGCAGGAACAAAACAAGTCATGAAATGATCAGCCACATCATCTTACAGTAATACTCAAGGCTCCCAACAGTTACGCTGTTCTCTTACCTTCCTGGCTAATTGGCGCCGAGATAGCAGGTGTATAATTTACAGTATAGCAATACATAATTTACAGTGTACTCACAATCAATTGTTTTTTGGCAATGTTTTCTTAATTGGAAAGAAAACATTTTATAAGGCTGTTTACAATAATTATATCTATCAACAGGGAAATAACAATTCATTCAAATAAGCAAAGGAAAATAACTCAATGCAACTTTGTGGCTCATGTACAAAAACTAGCCAATAGTTACGGTGTACTGCCTTGGTGGCATCACACAGCTAAATCCTTGCACGAGAGCATCTGTTCGGACTGCGCCGAATCCTCTTCCAGAGGTGATGTTTTTGGAGCGGCCATCCATCCATCTCATTGGATGGAAAACATGGTTTAGCCTGGGGTGGACAGTCTTACAGAGAATGATGGGGGAAGAAAAGAGGACAGAAAAGTTCTTTCTGTCAAAAGGCAGCTTGTTTTAAGGCTGGTTTACTGTATTTCTAGGCTGTTGTCTTTGGGAGGATTGGTTGTAATGTAGCTACTTCACTGTGGCTGGGATGGCCACTGGTGAGGCAATACAGGGTTATGGAAACACAGTTTTATTTTGAAAGCAGCTTAGTTTGCTCGGTTGTCTATGTAAGCTATCTTTGAAAATAATGGAATTATTTGGTTTTCACTTAGAGTTTATCATCTTCAATTGCGTTGATTTATCAATCCACATGAGTGTGTATTTGCAATGTAATTAAGCCAAAGTGAAACACATACTCATTTGACCGTGAGCAAAACCATAGCAGGGTGACAGCCAGTTTGAGGAGACAAGGGTGTCTTGGCAACTGGTATGAATTATTTTAGGGCACAGCGTATGGAAAAGGTGTGGGAATTTGGGAAGCCTTCCTGCCTCGGGGTTCGTGGTGGGTCAGCTTGCAGATGAGACTGCTGGAGGAAGCTCCTGGTTGGCGCAGAGAGCCCCAGCCAAAGGGTGTCCTCCCTTTGTCCTTCTCATTTGTAAAGAATAAAATACAGATTTTTTTGTGTGTGTTTATTATTATTTTTTCAAAATGTGTTTGTGGTGCATAAGAAGAAATTGTGGTCTTTGGGTCGTGCAGGAGGTGCTCTGCCATGGTGACAATTTTAGTGATATTTGAGGTACTGTAACTGATTTATATATAAATTTTTTGTTACGTTCACGATGATTTGAAAATGAGTATGATAGTACCTGTCTCCTGGGACATAACAACATATCTTCCTTTCAAGAAAATTTGTACTATTTCCCATTTATATCTCCGCCTCTGGAGGCTCCTGTGTAGTTATTTTCCCAATGTTACAGAAACCATCTCTCCTCTAACTCCCCAAAATCCCTGGGGTATGTTTTGTGCACTGATAATTCGCAGGAGCAGTAAAACAGTATATATCTGTATGGGTAGGAGTGTCAAAAGACAGTTTCCTTGTTGACCATCCAAAAACTTTATACCATATTTCCCACTTAAAATAGTGTAAATTGCTGTGATGGATGTTGTCATCAGGCATCAGAAAAAAGTAGCAATGCACAGGCAAATATTAGTGCCTCTTTAAATCAGAATTGCAGCTGGCAATGTCAGAGCTTTATTTATTCATAAATTAATGTAGGAACTGAATATAATCCCGAAAACTTTTACAAAGGTCCAGAAGCTGATGGCTGAGATGAGAATGAGACATCAATAAATAGGACATTAGAGTATTGGTAATGCTATCGATTTGTTTCTTTTTCTAATATATGGTTGTTTTCTCTTGCTGCAGCCAGGGTTATGAGTCAGACTCCAGAATTAATTGTTTTTATTAAATCTCTATAAATGCTGCAAGAGGTGCTGGGGTCCCGCTTATGCTCCTCTTCTCCCTGCTCTAATTCCAAGTTTGCTTCTGTGTAGTTGCAATGATGCTACTGCTAAACTGACCTTTACATTACTCCTTTTCCCAGATAAGAACCTAAAAATTTGGTTTTTCATTAAAAACTGAATTGCCAAAACCTGGAAACTTGTTTAAGTGCCCCACCTTGCTGCCCTGCTATCTTCTTTCTTGCCCTTTCCATCTTATTTCTTGCCCATTTCATTTCTTTTTTCCCAGAAATTCTTTTCCCCTGTTGCTCACTAATAACTTTTGAAGGACTACAGGGATTTATTTACTTGGTTCAAATGCTGGGGGAATAAGACTGATTCTCAGCAATTAGAAAATAGCTAACTTGGTAAATGGTAAAACGGATTTGCATGCTGGTGTCTTCAAATATTTTCAGTTTTGCAAGACCCACACACAGTGCCCTGTACACTTCACAGCCGCGTTGGCTGTCCTGAAATGGAAAAGTGCAGGCTGGAGTGGCTTTTATTTTATTTTATTTTAAATTTATTATTATTTTGTTTTGTAAAATGGATGTTTCTGTTCAGACTGATCTTCACTCTCGCAGCAAAACAGGGTATTTTTCACACTCCCTCGCTGTCAAACGTTGCCTATTCTTCCTTTTATTTTACATGCACAATTTTCTGCTTTTTACAAATCACCTGTTGGGAGGTATCTAACAAGTTTTAATTTATTAAATACCCTGTCATTTCTCTCAGCCCTCACTATGCCTGAACAGTTGTGTCTAGAAAAGCTTTTTCAATGTCCTTGACTGAAATTCTCGGTGAGCGTAAGACTCATGTTTCATCTTCATTGGACACCTTCCTCACGATACCGTGCTTCCACTAAAACCTTACCATCTGCTGACCTATTAACCTAATTGTCTTGAATTTTCTTGGGAAAAGAGAATGGGATGGAGGATTGGAAATGTTTATTGCTCTATGACATAGAGGCGGTCACACAAGCATATATGTGGCAAACAGGAGTCTCATCTCAGGGTAGCATTATAAGATATATATATGAAAAAAATATATTTTTAAAAAATATATAAAAGATATATATATCCTATAGGATAACATAGTTTAA